AAACAAAACAAAAAACAAAAAACCCATTAAGATCTACAATGTATATGGAGAATGGCTCGGAGGGGCCCTACTTGTGGCTATGTGGACACTCCTGGAAGGTTATTAAAGTAGATTACTGTATATACTTGTGTATAAGCCGAGTTTTTCAGCACATTTTTAATGCAGTTTTTGTGGTAAAATTAGGTGCTTTGGCTGATTTTCGGGTTGGCTTATATTCGAGTATATACGGTAGGTTTTGATTTGCGAACCTGTGTAAATAATATGAAAAGCTGCCATTACTGGGATGACGAGGAATAGTCTTGTAGGGACTGGAACCAACCCTTCCTTCTATTTTGGATTTATTAAGTAGAAATGTTAAATGGACATTTAGACCATTTTGGAGTTTTGGAAAGAAGTCATATTTTTTACTTTTTCAAAGTAATTTAAAGCTACTTTTATTCTTGCATATTACCTTTGCCTTCTTGTTCACATGCATTTTATGTATAATATAAGCTGTGATCATAGTGCGTTACAACTTCTGAAGTACATATTTTAATTTTTTTCTATAGCTTTTTTTAAAAGCTGCTGTTTTTCAAGGGAGGCTTTGATTCTAGGGTTTTATTCTTTGTCAGGTCCTCAAGGAGACTTGCACAGAAAGACCTACCCAGTTCCTACGCTGAGGGAGCACATGGGGTCTGGGCAGAGAGTCCTGATGAGAACTGGGGCAGGCTTGAGGGTGGGGGGGGGGTGTCCCTCAGTTTGGCATTTGTCAGCCTGCAACTGGGGACTCCGGTGCTGAGCAGTTTTCAAGCCATCCTGAAACATATATGGGGAGGCCCTGAACAGACAGTCTCTCCTTACATTCATTTCCCTAAAGACCAGGGCTGACAGCTACTATCTGGGCAGTTTTCAAGACTACAGGGTTGGAGATCATGCAGTTTGGGAATAGACTGTCCTCCAGGTTTGTCTCAGAAGTTACAAGTGCAGTGAGCTGGAGCGCTGACCTAGATGGGTGAGCAGAGATCAGTGCTGGCAAAGGAACAGGAAGGTGGAGAGAGGGCACAGCTGCCTTCCATTTCAACAAGAGGCAGCCCTCATCTGAAGAGGTTTTGCTGTCCTCTGACTCTTTGTAGGTGTGTTCAGAAGCTATTCCTGTCACCAAGCCCAGAGAAACCCAGCCATTGCAAGACATCACTAGATTACTGTTTCCTCAGGAACCTGATGTTCACCCAGATGCATAAATGGCAAGGTGTGTGTGTGTGTGTGTGTGTGTGTTCACATACTACAGGGCACACGGTGTGGCAGGGAGAAGCATTGGGTTGGAAGAGGAGCATAATCAGTAAGCGGAGGAAGGAAATGTTTGAAGTGATGAGATCTTTAGATTCTCATGTATTTTGAAACCCATGTTTTGTCTGTTTCAATTTTCAGAGCAATCTTTTGAAGATGGTGGGGACCCTCTTCACAGATGAAAAGGAGGCTCAAGAGAGGTCACATAGACCTAGTATACAGCCAAACAGTGGCTTGGTGACACAAACAGTTAAGGGCTCAGCTGCTAACCCAAATGTCAGTCATTTGGACCCAGCAGCCACTCTGTGGGAGAAAGGGCTGTCTGCTTCTGTAAAGAGAACAGCCTCCGAAGCTTTTTGGGGGCAAGGCGATTCTTCTCTACCCTATCGGTCCGATGAGTCCATTGATTGGTTTTTCTTTTGGTGGCACAGTGGTTATGCATTGGGCTGAGATCCACAGGATCGGTAGCCTGAGACCACCAGCAGCTCTGAGGGAGAAGGACAGGGCTTTCCACTTCTGTAATCAGTTACAGACTCAGAAACTCAGTGGGGGCAGTACTGCCCTGTCCTATAGTGTTAACATTGACTCGATGGCAGTGAGTTTGCTTGTTTGGTGTTCATGGCACGTTAAATGGAGTTCTGTGTAGAAAAGGGGGCTTGTTAGACACGGATAATGTTCATGCGCTTTGTGAAGTTTTTGAGACGTGTGTGGGATGTGTTATGGCCTGGATTCTTAGTCCTCACCAGAGAGTGGTGTGTTAATACTGGACTATTTATGGAAGTAGGAGCCCTCGTAACACAGTGATTAAAGTGATTGGCCGCAAGCAAAGTGTCAGCAGTTCAAATCCACTAGCCCATCTGTGTGATAGTATACTTCTGTAAAGATTCCAGCCTAAGAACCCCATGGGACACTGTTCTGTAAGGTCACTACAAGTTGGCTTTAACTTGAAGGCAGTTGAAGATTAACCATTGCAAAAAAGGTAGGGGCTTAAATGCTCTTCATCCGTAATGAGGGGTAAGATGGGGTTTGAAACTAGATAGAAACTGCCCTTGATGGAGCCAGTCCAGGCTCTCCTGTGCTGTTGCCCTTGCTTGAGGTGTAGTCCTCACCTCTCTGCTTCTCCGACTTCATGTGCATGTTTGCTTGGTGAATAGGTGACTTGGGAAAATTCTTAGCTGAAAGGGACAGGACATCCCATGACAGGCATTCCATAGAATCTGAGATCAGTTGAGGGCCCTGGCAGCACTCAGCAGACCTTTCCCTCCTCTCCTCTCCTTGGCCATATTGGCCATTTGACTTGAGGCCTGGTGCCTCTTGCCTGCAAAATGGCTGCCACAACATGAGGCACAGCAACTACATTTGAAGGCAAGAATAGGTGGCTGGGTAAATAGCGGGTCGGGTGGTCATAGCATCTAAAATAGCCTTTTTGCCAAGGTCACGATCCAATATTTAATCTCTAAAGGGCAATGATTCTCAGTACCTTGTTTGTCTCTGGCTAGCATGGGGTTCTGTGGATACTCCTAGTGGCAAGGGCAGCTGGAAAACTTGATTAGCATAGCTGAATATGATCTTTCTCTCGGGCTAGGCACAAGGTATTTCTGTTGATAAAGGGTTTGGTGCAAGTCTACTGAGTAATAATACTTGCCTATGACTTTATTTTTCTGATATTTCACTTACACTGTGTACTTTGATGTCCCCATCTACCTGAGTTTCCTGAAGTAGACTGGCTGTTGAATTTTTCTTGGCTACACCCAGGGGCCATCCTGGGCCCCTCCCTGTCCTCCCATGGGTTCTGTGTCCAGTCTGTATGCAGGCTCCAAGGACTATTCCTTCCCCGCAGCCCTCTTTGCTATTTTGCTCACGAGTGCCCTTGCGCTGTTAGCAAGCCACTGTTCTTTTTCTCCAAACATTAATTTTATTGATTTAAAATGCTTTATTGGGAGATTAATTTTATTTTTAATATATACTATAAAATAGATTTCACCCCTTTTTGGGCATACAGTTCTATGGTTTTTAACATATGTGCACATTTTTATAACCACTGTTGTCTTTGGCTATGTTCTTTATAAAAGTAAAACTAGTGAAGCTGATATATGCATATAGACACAGATTTATGTGGAGATGGGAAAGTTCTAAGTCTATGGGTCAGATGCCAGGCAGGAGGAGGCTTTGCATATCTGTAGGGGCCGAAGAACCCATTATCAACGAATCAGACAGCAGGTTTATGGCTGCAGAAGTTAATGACTCTCAGGTTGGTAGATAAGATGGCAGACTGCTTGATGGCTCACTGACTCAAGTTTAAAGGACCAGTGGTCAAATGATGAACCAGTTGCAGGATGCAGACCCAGCAAAAAGCAAGCAAGCTTTTCCATTGTCCACTTAGATTGGTTGCAGGTCACAGCTCTGAGGAGAGCCAGATCACTGAGAATCCCGGCCCAACCACGTTGACATCACTACAACTATTAGCAAGATACATAAAAATTCCATTAGTCAAGAGTAACACTCTCAAGCCCACAGGGGCATCGACTCGATAGTAGTGAGTTTTGAGTGGATTCCTTTATAGCTAGCTCTGCCACCCAACCTAACTCCTGACAACCACCAATCCATTTACCATCACCAATTTTTGTCTTTTTGAGAATGTAATATGAATAGAATAATTTAAATGTAACCTTTTGAGACTGGCTATTTCCTTAGCATAATAATACCTTTGAGATTCATTTAAGATTTTGTGTGTTAATTCTGATGTATTTCCTCAAAATACACAGGAAGACCACGGGGATGTCTTAGGAAAACAGCATTGATGAGAAAAAGGCTAAGAAACTTGCCCTGAGGATTTTTATTGTATCTTTCAGGGTAGCAAGGGTGGTCCTAGAATTTCATTGAGAAACCGTATCCTATCTACTCTATAGTCCAGATCTTGCCCCTTCAGACTTCTTCTTGTTCCCCAAACTCAACATTCCCAAAGGGAACATGATTTGAGTCTCTCAATGCCAGAACTGCCATTTTGGCCTGGTGTAAGTCAAGAGGGTGGGAGTTCTTCAGGGAAGGGTTAGAGGGAGAGAAACACCACCTTCAGAAATACATAGACCTTGATGGAGATTCTATGGAGAAACAATTGCTTTAGATTTTGATACTTTGGTTAAATAAAAATTTATATGATTTTATAGCAATAGGTTTTGACTTATCCTCTTTTAGGAATCTGTATTTTTGACAAGGGCTTAAAGGTGGTTTAGGGCTTAGATGCTAACTAAAAGGTCTATAATTCAAACCTACCCATCTTTATAGGAGAAAGATGTGGCAGTCCTACGGGGCTGTTTTACTGTCTTTATATGGTCACTATGCGTGAGATCTACTCCGATTTCTTAGTTTCTCTAATAACTTAATTATAATTTATTTTCTTCACTTCTCCATGTAGTTTATCACTGGCCTGTAATTTTTTAATGTTCCTACTCGATAAGGCACTTGATTTCTTTGTTCTTACTCAGCCTTGAAATTGTAACTTACTTTCTAGTTTATTTTTCCGCCCAGTGGGACGTGTATGCTCGTTAGCATCTGTGGTTCATGTTCTGCCTCATAATAAGTTATGTTTATCCTGTTCTTTGGTATAGCTGCTTCTTTGGCACTGACACTTTTAAATATTTAATAGGAGTAAAAAGTAACCACTGAGGTTGGGCGGAGGAATCTTTAAATTCTATGATTAAAGGTCGACGTTCTTTTTTTTTTCTCCTTCCCAGGGAAGAAGAAGAACGTCTGAGAAACAAGATCCGAGCCGATCATGAGAAAGCCCTGGAAGAAGCAAAAGAAAAACTGAAAAAGTCAAGGGAAGAAATCCGAGCAGAAATTCAGACAGAGAAAAATAAGGTAGCCCAAGAAATGAAGACGAAAGAGAATAAGCCACTGCCACCAGTCCCTATACCCAACCTTGTAGGAATAAATGGTGGAGACCCAGAAGATGATGACATAAGAAAGAAAAGGGAAAAAATTAAAGAGGTAATAGGCTGACCTGTGTTATATAGAGTGGTTATGGATTTGTCTTTTACTTGATTTAAATGTCTACTTCAACCATTTTGGCTTTGTACCATTTGGACCTTGTTTGTTCTTAAGTGTCCAGTTATAGGAAGCTCTGCTAGATACGTTTCCAATCTTTTTATGAACGTGCTAAAGAGCTACCATTGTCTCTGCCATCTTTTAATGAACATGTCATGTTAATCCCTTTATCATAGTGAGGGTTCAGAACATAGTCTTTCCAGTGAGCCCCCATGGTCATGAAATGGGAAAAGACATGATCTCAAAAGTTTTTAAATTGATGTAGTCACAGAAAATTTTCAGTTAGCTGACCTAGGAATTTATGTGGAAATAAAGAGATTATGCAGGGGTGGGTGAGAGGTCATCTGTAAGTATTTGGGGCTTCAAAAGGTAATTGCAAAAATTCCATTTTCTTTTAATTCTGTTTCTCCACAATTCTATTTCAATTCCACTCTGCTAATTAGAAATCCTGCCAGGTCTTACTGTTTTGGGGTGAAAACGGGATGGAATTTACAATTGTACTATCTGTGGAGAAAACGATTTTGTCAAAGAGTCTAATGTTGTTGGTTAGGTGCCCTAGAGTCATAGCGACCCCATGCATAACAGAGCAAGACACTGCACCGTCCCGTGCTGTCATCATAATTGCTCCTTTGCCTGAGCCCATTGTTGTAACCACTGGGTCATTCCATCTCATGGAGGGCCTTCCTCTTTTTCACTGCCCTTCCTCCCAGGGACTGGTCTCTCCTGACATCACGTCCAAAGTCTTGCCATCCTTGCCTGTAAGGATCACTCTGGCCTTACTTCTTCCTACACAGATTGGTTTATCCTTTCAGTATTCTCCAGCACCATCATTCAAATGTGATTCTTCTTTGGTCTTCCCTGTTCAATATCCAGCTTTCACTTGGGTCAGGTGCACCTTCGTCCTCAAAGTAACATATTTGCTCTTCAGTACTCTATAGAGGTCTTGTGCATCAGATTTATTTAAATGCAATACATCTTTTGATCTCTTGACTTCTGGTTCCATGAGCATTGATTGTGGATCCAGTCAAGACAAAAAGAGTTTATAATAGCTTCAACAATAATGGGAAATAGTCGTTTAGTATAAAATTACTTATCATAAGATTGTCAGATATCTAATTGGGATATATTCTAGTAATGGATATAGTAGATGGTTAACAGATAATTTGAGTCTGGTCTTATGAATTGCTACAAGTCTTTGGCCTTGATGGAGTCAAAACAAAGCTGATTTTATTTTTAATTTTTTTAGCTACACTCATTTTATATAACCTCTGGTTTCTTTGTTTTATGTACAAGTTGTTTAGGTAGTTTCTTTGGATATTGTTGGAGAGATACTGATGTCCCCGCCCCTCGCGCCTCCCCCTCACAACATCATTAGAATTTATTCAAGTACTCTCTTATGTACAAAATTCAGATAGATGACCATGTATGTTCAGGGACCCTCCAATCATGATTATGTTCAATAATCTTCATGACTTCAGCAAGGTGAATGAGTAGAGGGGTTGAGTATATAGGTATGGCTGATCAAATACAAGACTTATCTGCATCCCCTGTAGAGGTTAAACTGATACTGCATGACCCAAAGTTATCAACATATAAATTACATTATTAGTATAGGCTTTCTGATGTGGCCCAAAGCCTCAGGTAAACCAAGACACTCTTTTCTTTCTCTTTTTTAAAAAGAAAATTATTAATTTTTTTGTTGTGTTTGGATGGCATGAGTGAAAAAGTAACCATTGAGGTTGGGTGGTGGGATCATTAAGTTTTATGTTTAAAGTTGACGTTCTATAGAAATGTCACAGAGCAGCTTTATAAAATGCAGAGCAAATCAAATGGGTTTTCTATTCATACACATTTTGCATGGTGACCATTAGTTGTCATCCCCACAGTGTAACCGCTCTTCCCACCTGCCTGGCTGTGCCGTTTCCGCTTGTTCTTCCCTGCCTCTGCAACCGCTTTTTGATTGCTTATGGTGCACTGCTCTAAGGAATGCATATATACCTGGTGTTAATGTCTTTTCCCATCGGTATTCCACTGTTTGTTCGGAAGTGAGCCTCAGCGGAGAGTTCATTCAAGGATTGAAAGATACCAAAGGGCCATCACTTGGGTGGATCCACTCGTCTCTCACCAGACCTGCAACTCTGGTCTTCTTTATGATTTTGAGTTGTATCCCACATTTTTCTCTCAGTTTTTCTAGGACCTCTTACTGTAATCCCTGTTGTGGGATTATGAAGAGACTTTCCCCCAGCTTGGTCTCCCCCAAAGACATGCCAAACATTAGAGGCTATTTGCCAGCATAGGTGGGAGGTCAGATGCTTAGAGACATCCTCCCTGAAGACAGTCAGTTGCCAAACAACTGTCTGGGCCCACCACAGGTAGGGCCCACTCCCTGCTGTTAGGGACAATGGGTTACTTCTCCCTAAAGGTTTTGGACTGTCAGTTTTGTCCCTGTAGATGGAGTTTACACCCTACTGATAATGGTTTCTATGAAGATCCAGAGAACAGGTCAAACCTGCTCAGTGACATCCAAAGTTAGGCTGCCATCCTGAATCTAGGGTCCGCCCATCTTGTCACATGTGTATCCCCAATGCCTCTCCTTCCTATTGCTTGGATACCCCTAGGTCGTCCCCCTCTCATTGCTGTATAACTTACAGTGCAACCCCTTCCTGTGATGTATGTTTTTACCTGTAATTGGTGGGCTTGTACGCCCTCCACCAAAGATATATAAGCCTTGGTTAGCAATAAAGATTCCCTTTGGCCTCTCTTGGCTCTTCTCCATACATTCCCCCGTCCTCACTTCCCTTTCCCCTTGTCCTCCTTCCCCTCCCCCTCTCTCCTGCCCTCTGGTCTCCCTTCATGTGGATCACCAAGTGAGGCTGAGGTAAACATGCTACCGTGAAATGTGTCTGACTCCATTATTTCGATCTCTCTTCTATCTCTCCTGCTCTCTATGACTTTATATATATATATATGTATGTGTATATATATCTATATCTATAGATCTATAGATATATACCGTACAATTGAGCCTGTCGAACGTCCGATTAGTTGTGGGGGGCTGGCCTTTCCCCCACATCCTGTCATAGTGGTCAGCAGTGGGAAGTCGGCAACGTCCAATTCTTCTGGTCTCGGGGTTGTTAAGAATGGGGTTCATGTAGTTCATTAACCCTTTAAGCTAATTGTTTTTATGTATCTGATTATCTTTGCTCTGGATGAAGAGAGATCAGCAGTGGAATAACATGGTCATTCACAAGTTTTGTTTGTTTTTCTTAGCTTGTTATTGTGAATTAGGCCAAGATTTACAGAGCAGGTCATCAATTTTACATTCAACAGTTCATACACATTCTGCCTCAACATCCACAAACTTTTAAGATCCCAGTCACTATTCATCAAAGTAAGATTAGATACCATGTGTACTTAAGGCAGGGGTGTACGATGGAGCTTGACAAGGATTATTTGAAAGTTGATGAAAGGAGCTTTTAAGCTCTCAGATCCTCATTTGTAGCCAGCATACAGCTACAGTTCTCCCTTCCTCAACAGAAGACCTTTGGAAAAGGTAGATGAGAGATGATCTGGGTTTCTGGAATAGTGAGGAATGGCTGAGAGTGCAGGACAAGGGACATCCTTTTCTTCTTTCAAAAGGAGAGGCTAGTCAGGGAGGGGGAGCTAAGTGAAGATCTGTATTTGGAATAGTGAGAGCACTCACTATTCAGTTCAGTTCTGGTGGTCAGATTTACTTCTATTCAATAGGCAGGAGGATGAAGCACTTCTCTCTGGGAAGACTGAACCAAGAGGAAAGAAATCCTACACCATTTCTTAGAGAATGACCTGTGTTGTGAATTGAATTGTGTCCCACAGCGGTATGCGTTGGAATCCTAACCCCTGTACCTGCAAATGTGACCTTATTTGGGAGTAGAGTTTCTTTTCTGAAGGTAAATGCTGTCTTATGAGGAGTGTAGGTGTTTCTTAAATTTAAAGATTCTTGAGACACAAACAGAGAAGAATAGACAAGCAAGAAAACACAAGGGGAGGGTAGATAGATGCTGTGGAGATTTCCAAGCAAGGCTGAGAATGCTGGATAAGTTGAGACAAGGGTTTTCTCCCAGAACAGAGAGAGGAACTTAACCCAAGAGCCACTATCAACCCACGCCCACACACATTTTCCCATACGTATTCCCCTGGCCCGTGTTGGTGTTGTTTAGTCCCGTCAAGTTGGTCTCATAGCAACCTTCAGTACAGCACTGCCTGATCTGGTACGGTACCATCATTGCAGTCACAGTGGGGTTCCTCTACTTTACAAAGCATGGTGTTCTTTTTCAGGGACTGGTTTCTCCTGATTACACATCCAAACTACATGAGATGAAGTCTTGCCATCCTGAAAGCCAGGAGCTTTCTGGCTGTACTGATTTCACTGCAGATTTGTTCATTCTCTGGCAGGCCATGGTGTCTTTTGAAATCTTCAGCAGCACATAATTCAAGGACATTACGTCTTCAGTTTTCTTTTTTGGTGTCCAGGTTTTTGCATGCCTATGAGGCAATTGGAAATACTATCATGATTTGAGTCTGGCACAAAGCTTCATCATCAGTGTGACATCTTTGTGTTTCAGCACTTTAAAGAGGTCTTGTGAAGCATATTTTCCCAGTGAAATATGCTGTTTATTTTCTGACTGTGGCATCAATGGATATTGATAGTAGACCCAAGTAAAATAAATTCCTTGACAATTTCAGTCTTTTCTTTGTTTATCATACTGTTGCTTATTTGTCCAGTTGTGATGCTTTTTCTTTTATGTTGAGATGGAACCCAACTTTAGTTTATCAGTTGATATTTATCAGTAAATGCTTCAAGCCTCTTAATTTTCAGCAAGCAAGTGTGTGCCACCTACATATTGCAACTTCCACCAGTACTGATGCTGCCTTCCTCTCTAAAGCTTCCCAAGATTGTTAACACTCTGCTTTTTGTATATATCTGCCAACCTGCCCACTGCCTGTTTTATTATAGATTTAATTGGAATATATCCATGTTTACTTCTTATCCAGGGCTACTTTTGACAGAGACAATGTGGTCTCTGAAGCCCAAAATAATGGTCTGTGAATCCCAAAATAGTTTTTTTAAGGGAAAAATACGCTGACTTCTGGTGTAAGAGCAGTGATGGATTACCCAATGAGCAAGGTAAGCTTAGGTTTGCCTGCTCGCGTAACACTTCATACTGAGCAGTTTTACATGTTTTTCACCATTGAACAATTTCACATGGTTCATGTGGTAAAAAGGTGTGAAACTATTCACTATATTATTAGTAAGTAAGCATAAGTAAGCCCCTGCTTCCCTTGCTTACTGGTACTCAGATCTTGCTAGGGCATGTACATTTGAGAAGCACTTTGATTCTGTAGAAAGGTGTGGGGGTTGAAGAGAGACAAATGTCTTCCATCCCTAGAAGCAGAATTTGTGGTGAGGTGAAAAATGGTTTTAGTGGGTAACCTGATCCTGTCTAAGGGCAAGGGGCTGTCTAACCAGCCTGAGGTGATTGTTAGTGGAGGCCGAGCTCCTCTATTAAGAACTCTCCTAATCACAATGAAGTAAGGACCGCTGTTATGAAGGGGAGAGTCATTAATAAAGGAAAGAATGGCATGTAGATACTTTCCCTTCCTAAAAACAGACAGACAAACAAACAAACAAACAAACAAACAAAAAAACCAAACAAAATAACTAACTAACCCACCTTTGAATAATCTTTACTGATGGATGATAAATTTTCTTTTCTCAGATGATGAAACATGCCTGGGATAGTTATAGGACTTATGGATGGGGACATAATGAACTCAAGCCTATTGCAAGGAAAGGACACTCTACTAACATATTTGGTAAGTTTTCTTTTCCTCATTACTATTTTCATTTTCTTCCTCTATTTAAAAAAATAGACTATATTTTAAAACTACCATCTAAACTTGAAGAATCCTATGCTAGTAATGATTTAAAAGTAACATGCTTCATTTACAATCAATTTGCTTACAGTTGTTGTGGGAAAAACAGGGAATAGGTTATACCTGCTTTAGTCATTTATTCTGAACTTTTTTTTTTTTAATATATTTTTTTTTATTCTGAACTTTTAAAAGATTTTTTACCCCTTCATTGTTTGCTCTCATGTTAGAGAAGGTAGGACCCCTCCCCCAAACACAGGGCTAGTTCTAATAGTCACACATTATAGGGGGGAAAGGGAAGAATAAGAAGTTTTTGGATTGCTATGTACGAGGCTTAAAAAAGCTCATGGAGAATGGAATTCAGAGGAAATGGAAATTTTCCACAAACTTTTTGAGCACCTTTGTACTTTGTCCCTTCCTGCTTCCCCCGCCCCCATTTAAAAAAGAAAAAACGAAGCACATTAGGGGTGATTTGGTTGATAAATTCAGTGGGCTATTGCATGGTGTGTTAGTCTGGGTTGACAAGAGAAACAAATTCATAGGCATTCATGTGTAGGAAAGAGCTTTCTATAAAAGAGTAATTGTACATTATGAAAGCATTCCAGCCCAGTCCAGATCAAGTCCATAAGTCCAGTATTAGCCCATATGTCCAATAATAATCTATAAATTCCTCTTTAGACTCATGCAGCCATGCAATAATGCCCAATGCAAGAAGATCACAGGCCAGTGGGTAGAAAGTCTTGTGGATCCAGGGGTAGTGGAAGCATCGCAGCGCTGGCATCCATGTGGCTCTTTCAGCTTCAGGGCTCTAGCCTAGCTCCATGTGTCTTATCCACAGGAATGTCTTGCAAGGAGTGAGCAAGTGTCCTACCTCCAGCAAGCTATTTATTTCCTTAGCGCCTCCAAATGAAGGTCATCAAGCTGCAACCGATTGACAGGTTAAACTCCACCCCTTCACTCTTAAGTCTCAAATGGACAACAGATTATGTAACTACCACACATGGATTCATGGTTCCTAGGAAAATATTATATGTGTTTGTGGAGATGTACGCATTGGAAGAGTGCTATGTTTGCTGAGTTCATGCTAAATTTCTACCCCTCTGGAATTCAGTCTCCTTGTTCAACTGACACATCCTAGAGTAAGCCTTGAGAATTGTCAGAATGTTCTTTGTGGTCTTCACTTCTTGTTCTCCCTTTTAAAGACTTTTTGATGTGATAGACATCTTTTAAATAATGATGGTTGAAGGCAAGATGATACTAGGGTAAAAAGAACACCTATACCAAACGTTATGTGCAATCTACTGGTAGTTTATTTTTACCAATTATAATGCATCATCACAGTAATCCAAGTAACAGCATTTTTCTTTGATTGCAACACTGTGAAAGAATACTCCTGATTCTGTCATTTCCCTTATAATTTGTTTGCTGGTGCTTGGCTGTTCTCTGTCAAAAAAGGAAATTGCTTAAAAAATTATTTCTCTTGTACTTTAGAGATGTGAGAGATTTTTTCTTTTCCGTTGGCAGTCAGTGACACCAGATATCGCTAATATGACATTTACTTTACTAATGATCATTTAATTAAATAAAGTACTATTCCTTAACAGAGGTTGCAAATTGAAAAATTTCCACTGCTTTGTGCATGGCACAATATGAAACTTCAGTTCATTAAAAGGTATTGTATTAAGTAGTTAATTAAAGCTACATCCTCTTCAGGTAGCTATCCTTTTGTATTATGCTTATTGGTAAACAATGCACCCTTACAAAATATTGCAGTATAAACATGTCAAAGTGAGAATTAGATGTTATTTTTCACTTGTCTTGTCAAAGCATATTTCTGAGAACATCTACTCCATTGTTGTTATTGTAGGTCAGTGCAGCTGACTTGGTTTTGACTCATAACGACCTTATGATGAAGCACTGTCTGGTAATGTTTGATCCCACGTTGCAGCCACTGTTCAGGGCTATCTCCTTGACTGGCTTCCTCTATTTTGCTGACCCTCTACTTCGGCAAACGATATCTTTTTCTGGGCTCAGATCGCTCCTGATAACATGCTTAAAGTACATGAGATGAAGTATTACCATCCTCGCTTCTAAGGCATATTCTGGCTGTGCTTCCAGCAGAGATTTCTTTGTTCCTCTGACATTCCATGGTTCTTCCAATACTCTTCACCAACACCCTAATTCAAAGAAACCAAGGCTCTGAGGTCCTCCTTATGCATTGTCCAGTGATCATGCATCTGCTTATGAGATCATTGAAAATTCCAGGGCCTCTTAGTTCGCAAGGTGATATCCTTTCCCTTTAACAATTGTTTTTAAATCATTTTATTGAGGGTTCATACAACCCTTATCACAATCCAGACATACATCATTGGTATAAAGCACATTTGTACATTCGTTACCCTCATGATTCTCAAAACATTTGCGCTCCACATAAGCCCCTGGCATCGACTCCTTATTTTCCCCCCTCCCTCCCCGCTCTCCCCTTCCTCATGAACCCTTGATAATTTATAAATTATTGTTTTGTCATATCTTATACTGCCCGACGTCTCCCTTTACCCACTTTTCTGTTTGTCCCACAGGGAGGAGGTCACATGTAGATCCTTTTAACTGGTTCCCCCTTTCCACTCCACCCTCCCTCCACTGTTTGGGTATCACCTCTCACCACTGGTCCTGCATTCCCTGTGTTTCCAGTTCCTATCTGTACCAGTGTACATCCTCTGGTCTAGCCAGACTTGTAAGGTAGAATTGGGATCATGATAGTGGGTGGGGAGGAAGCATTTAGGAACTGGAGGAAAGCTGTATGTTTCATCGTTGCTACACTACACCCTGACTGGCCCATCTCCTGATGTCCAGTTGCCTACAGATGGGCTTTGGGTCCCCACCCCGCACTCCCCCTCATTCACAATAATAAGACTTTTTGTTCTTTGATGCCGGATACCTCATCCCTTTGACACCTCGTGATCACACAGGCTGGTGTGCTTTTAGGCTTTTAGGCAGGTGTTTAAACCAGTGGAATATGTCGTTGATATCTTGACTACTGCTTCCATGAATTAATTGTGGATCCAAGTAAAGCGAAATTCTTCACAACTTTAATCTTTTCTCCATTTATTATAATGCTGTCTGTTGGTCCAGTTGTGAAGAGTTTCTTTGTATTGAGTTGCAATTCATCATTAAATACTTTAAAATTTCTTGCTTTCAGCAAAAAAGGTTGTGTCACCTGCATATTTTGGGTTGTTAATAGACGTTTTTCTAATCCTTATGCCAGGTTTCTTCATATACTTCAGTGTGTTGGTTTATTTGCTTAGCATACATATTGAGTAAGTATGGTGAAAGGAAACAACCTCAGTGTACATTTTTCCTGATTTTATTTTATTTATTTTAATTAATTAATTTTATTTTAATAAATAATTTTATTAGGGGCTCTTACTGCTCTTATAACAATCCATACATCAGTTGTATCAAGCACGTTTGGACATATGTTGCCATCATCATTTCCAAAACATTTTCATTCAACTTGAGCCCTTGGTATCAGCTTCTCTTATTTCCTGTCCCTCCTTCTCCCTCCTGCCCTTTTTCCTGATTTCAAATCATGCAGTATACCTTTATTCTGTTAGAATGACAGCCACTTGATCTATGTACAGGTTCCACATGAGCACAGTGAAGTGTTTTGGAATTCCCAATCTTCTCAGTGTTATCCATAATTATAATCTAAACAGTTGAATGATTTTGCATAGTCAAGCGCAAACATCTTTCTTGTATCAAAATAATCCTATGGAGAAATTTTGATGTAGTTATCTTTCTTTTTAAAAAAATAATGGCTTTTTAATGTTTGGTAGTTTAATTTTGTGGTAACTCCATGAGATTGCTTTAAAACGTGAACTTTATATAGGTAGTTCCTGATTTATGATGTATTTGAAGTATGGTGAACTGCACTTACAACTGTAGTGGCTAGTAATATGCACTACATACAATATTGATAATCTCTTGCTCTTAGAATTTTCAGGTGTTCATTCACAGATGTTCCATGTTACAATTTATAAAGACAGTGATAATAAAAGGAAAACCTAAAAATCTTAAGAACTAAAACAGGAAAACAAAACCAAGATATCCAGAAAGGCAGGGTGGGGGTCCAGATGAGGGAGAACAGTCAGGAGAGGGAATGGGGTAGACTGCTGGGGAGATGAGGTGGCAGGGTGCACTAGTGGTTTGAACTGTTGAATGCAGATGTGGTAATCTGAAATGTAAACCCTCCTTGTAATTTGCAATAACTCTCTTGCCCTCAAGCTTGCACACTCACTGACACACACATACACACACACACACACACCCCAAAACCAAACCAAAAAGCAGAAAACCACAAGGTATCTAACTCACGTGAGCACAGACTTATGATGTCCTCTGGACTGGACACTTGTCATGAGTAGGGGAGCATATGTATTGTTTTACCAGGATGCATTGTGACGACTACAGCAGGGCAGCTTGAGGTCACTGTGGAGTGAGTTCTGGTCAGCTGGTTAGGATCATTTAACTTGATTCCCTAGATATGCTGTCATTTTGTAAATTCAGAGGAGTTAGAGGAGGCTAGAATTAGAAGGAAAGAAACCTGGTGGTGTACTGGGCTAATTTAGAGCTGCTTACCTTACAATCTCTGTGGTTCAGATCCTTGGATATTCCCCAAAGATTTGCAGTCTCAGAAACTCAAAAAGGCAGTTCTCCTGTGTCCTGTAGGGTTGTTATGAGACGGGAATCCCCTCGATGGCTGTGCGTTTGGTTTTGAGAGAGTTGGAGGGAATCCTTGAGTGACACACATGATTTAGTCCATGACAACTGAGTGAATGTTGGACGGTTTAATCCTCCCAGAGGCTCCTCAGACAAAGGCCTGGTGATATATTTCTGAAAGATCCCAGCCATTGAAAACCTTTGTATGGGGTTGTCATGAGTCA